TTCTTTCCATGCAGGAAAAGACTATGATTTAGTCACTCAGGAATCAACTGGATAAATTAAATAAGTTGCATTTGTTAATGATCTTGTAATGGAGTTTCGGGTTTGGGGTTTCTTCATATTTTGCATAATCTATACAATTCTTGTAGTAGTTCTCTGATCTTCTACCAAATTGTTACAGCACTCTTAAAAGAGTGGTCCATAAAGAGAGTCTGTATTAGGCTTGGTCATGTATTCAATGATACTTAATAACCTGTTCAGCCGGAACTCTGAACGCTGATCACTAACATCAAGGAAGCATTCACGCTTTTTTCCTGAATCGCGCATCACTTCATGAACATATTCTAATGGACATGTAACTTATCTGAACGATCTCATTATTAGACGGAGGAAAAGAGTTTGTTAAAACAGTGATAAGTAATCCTAAAATAAAAATATTTTCCACCATAGAACAGATCCATCTTAGTAACACAAAACTGAGAACAGGGACCTACTAGATGATGCATTTTATGATCCAAGGAACTCAAAGACTGTTTTCCCTGAATACACAGCTTATAATATCACAGCCTCCAGAACTGTGTCCACCTTTTATACAGTACTGAACAAACTAGAAAAAGTTAATCAAAGATAACAGAAGAGCACCTAGGTGCTGTTGTATATCCTACAGCAGCTTTTGGCATTACACCAGCTTTCCAGCAACTTCAGTAATTAAAAAAAAAAAAAAAAGAATTTCAGTAAGTTCTTCCCTCTCACATATTTACCACCACAAATATGAGAGGGAAGGCAGATAGGAAGGAGAGTGTTGACAAAAAGATGATTAGACAGTTTTACTACACACTTGCTGGTTACTGTCAGCTAGAAAACATATGCAGAAAGACCTTTGCAAGCGCATTTTGTGCAACTTTTGTGTCTTCTACTTCGTGGTATAGCAGCTGGTGTGAGAATATGGGAAATAAATTTTTTCTTCCATTTCTTGAAGCAGAGGGGTAGGATGAAGTTCATAAATCAGGGAAACAAGAAGCACTATGAGTATTGATAGATCTTAGAGGGTATGATTGGGCCCAAAGAAAAGCACTCATAATAAGAACATACCGTGTAGCTCAGAAACAAACACCAGGGACCATAATGATGAGTGCACGTGTGCACTGTTATCAAACAACAACGAGTTAGACTTGTCAAACAAAAACAATGAACATAATTTCATACTGAAAATGTGACATTACTCAAGTTTGGGAAGGGTGGGGGCTATTGTTTGAAAACCAGAAAAAACATGGAGAAAAAACTTTTGGGAGAGCTCACTCATAGCTACAAAAGAGCTCACTATAACAAATGCTTGTCACTTACACAGCATTTTTAATAGCAAAGCTGTACTGAGTACTGACTGCAAAACAGACCTCTAAAAGCTGACAGTATGCATGAAAGTATCTACCGAGTTTTATCAACCTTTTAACAAAGGAGGACTCCAATGTTTCACAGGTTTGGATGTACTGTGATGTTGGAGTACCTCACCTGCTGAAAAAGTGTTTCAGAGTTGTGTAATAAAATTAGAAAGAAACATAAGGATCTCCCTGATCTCAGGACAAGGACTGGGTGCAAATTTTGAAGAAAAATGGGACTCCCTCAGGACTTCAGTGGAGGTTCCTTCATCCCAAATACTAAGTTTGCTGCAGAAAATGTCTGGGTTTTTTGTCAGAGGAAGAAAAAAGACTATACATGACAAAAGCTGGATGTGTTCCCTTTCCCAAGATAACTACATCTAAGCTGTATGTGCTAAAACGTATTTCGTTTTCCAAATAAGCTTGTTTTAGATAAAATCCTGTCATCTCTATTGAAAGGAACAATAGTTTACATTTATTCAACATTAAAAATCAAAGAAATCCAAAACTTCTTTCCAAGCTTTAGGCAACTGTGCTGAAATACATATAATTTAAATATAAAAAATTAAATATAAATGTATTTCTAGAGCACCTAGTCTGACTAAAAAAACCCCACACACCTCAGATTACCCTGTACACTTAAAAATCTGGTATAGAAAGATGATTTTATCTTATATGTTCTTCAAAGCCAAGCTGTCCAAGGTACAGTATCTGATTCTTGTGTAATGTGTGTACACAAAGCTTACAGAACAGACAGAGCAACAGCAATTCATATTTATCCTAAATACGAGCTCAAGTATTGTCAAGTTGATCAAATCACATCCGTACTTCCACAGTGACCACGACAGTGAAAGCAACAGTAACATTTCTTCATATCCTCAAATACAAAGGTTCTGTGCTCTCCAGAGTGAGCAGAGATATTTTTTGCATGGACCAGCATGATAGCAGCAATCAAGCTTATGATAGTTTATGCAGAAGAAGTTTCTCAGTTGCTCATGGGAAACTGTCAAGTGTGACATGAACTGGAAGCTGGATGGATGATGAAAATGGTTCTAGCAAATGTTTGATATCAGACTTTAAGACAATACAGACCACGACAAGGTGTTGTGTTGATGTCGCCTTGCTGGTACAGGAGGAAGGTAAGTACAGTGCAACTATTTATAGATTATATATGATAGAAAAAAAAATCGTTCTGAAGAGTTACCCAAGCATAACCAATATAGCTCATTAAAAATATCCTTTGGGATATTGCCAACTGTATAGCAACCTTTTTTCTTTTTATTTAAGAAAGATATTGATGTTTTGGTTAAAAAGATGGGCCTCAAAACATGTTCAGTTTTTATTAAATCCTTTACTGGTTGTCTACTGACCGTGCCTATACACTTAGCATTGGTGAGGCCACATCTGGAGTACCAGGCTCCCCAGTACAAGACAGCTCAGGATAACAAACATAATTAAGAGACTTCAGCATCTCTTATATGAGGAGAAGGTAAAAGACTTAAAATAATATTTTCTTCATTTAAATAGATGTGTGCACACCACAAAAACCTGTCAAAAATCAATTCTGTTAAAGCTGATCTTCAAATTAAAGCTACTTTCAGCTGTTGATATAAACTCCTCTTACGAATAGTTCTGTGATCTGATTTTAAAAAATATATATTACTGCCACATACTAATAATAAATGAGGACAGTACAATTATGTGAAAGATAAGACATATTTGTGATATGAAAAGGGAAAAATACTTTTCTTAAAATAGTCTTGAAGTTATCAAAGTGCCATTATTTTTTAATGTAGAGTCTTTGCTTCCATTGACAAGTAGTGACTCTGCAGCTGCTGAAACCTCTACAAAAAGTTTTCTCTCATTACTAAATGCTAATATTGCATTTCCCTTAGCAATTGGTAAAACATTTGAAATTAAAGTGTTAAGGATAGCCAATGTTAGTTAAATTAGCCAAAATATTTTCATCATTCGTTTTTTAGCTTATGGTGGTGATCAAGTGAACTTTTGTGCTTCTACATTTTGCAGTTGTCTGTTTTTTAGAAAAGAAGCAATAATCTTTGCCAAAAGCTTGAGATATTAAGAAGGCAAAATAGCTTCCTTCTCTTCTGACTATTTCAAGAAAAAGAATAAATTAACAACTGTAAGAATATACTTTTAACAGAGGCAGAGCTTATTTATCATATATAAGCACCACGGTGGGTAACACTGCCAAGTAAGTGGTAAAGGAAGGAAAAGTGGCTTTAAAAGGAAACATTTGCTTTTCAGTCACATGTTGTAAACTCAATTTTGATACTCTCACTTCTGTTTAGAAGGAATATCTTAATCCTAGACCAATCTAGTTGAAGTCAATAGAGGCTATGCTAAAAATGGTCTAAGACTGCACCTAAGCTGCTTCATCATCCTACATTATGGGGAAATATGCCTATTTATCCTTCCCTCCCACACACGTACCTTGCAGGAGAATGTGTGGGAAACCTGGACCAGACTAGAGCTGCTGTGCACTCTGGTGAGGTCCATGGTAGTAGGGGGCAGGAGAAGGGAAGAGGTAAAGACCCTGCAGCACAAGGAACTTGCATTTAACTTAGTTCTAAAGAGGAGAATGTCAGATGGAGAAGATGTTGTACTATTCACTCAGTGCAAATAAGGTTACAGTCCAAAGTCTTAGAAGATTTAGCAATATGATAAATAAGGAAGGTTGGATAGCAGGGTAGAAATGCACATCTGAACTTGGTGTCCAGGCAGACATGTGAATCTGTGCCTAACACTCTTGAGCAATTGAGTAGACTGTGGGACTGGCAACCTTTTCCAGCTCTCGCTGCAAAACACATTTTCACATGCTGTCTAGGCTGTCACACATTTGTGGCTGATGACTGAAATTTTCTTTGCCCCTGTGTGCCTCAAGTCCAACACCCATTAAAGAATGCAGGTTGTATGTGCAAATAACCCCTCACACTTAACACAGGAATCACAATCAGATGAACTCCAGTTAGTTACAATTGCCAAATGTATCCATTAAACTCAAAATAGACAAATTTGTTCTTGGCCAGGTCAGCTGTCAGATTGTTTCTGTTTAGGTGGCCCTCAGGAGGAATTTCCTTACCAGGGCCTTCGAGTTTCAGTTCGGAGACTCTCAGCTCATTGTAAATCCTATTGCTACAGATTAAATCTTGCAATTTTCTACAGTGATCTCTGAGAAAGTTTAGACCTGTGCATCCTTCAAAAGCACATGGGAGCATGCACAGTCCCATGAAATTTCTGTAAGGTACTCAAGTGCTGACCCAGTGAATAGAGTCCAATGCATTCAGCTGAACAGTTTTGAATGTTTCCTGTCAGATGCAAAATGGATTATTTCAAATGGCAAATGGATCCCTTGAAGAACTGGCAGCTGAAAAAAAGCCCCAATTCTTGATATACTATACTGAAACCTAAAATTTGAGTCCACACACATATGCCAACTAAAAAAAAATGAAATAAACAGGAAAAAATATTTAGAACCTATGATTTATTTTCATTTTACATGTTCACTGTCTCAGCTGATGTAAAAATATAAAGATTAATCACTTAATTAAAGCAAGTGTCATTACTAGACATACCTGAACAAATTTCCTTCTTAGTAACTCAGGTGGTAAGGGTACTAAAGTAAGGAAAGAACTCTAATGACAACGAAGGAAGGAGAATTTGGCTTATTAAACATCAAAATGATATTGCATTAATAAAATAGGTGATTTATTTGTGTGGTTATATAATGAATAAATAAATTGTCAGATTATTTTAAACACAGATCAGGAAGACAGAGAACTTTCCAAATTCCACCATGATTTAACTCAGAGATTCTCATCAGAAAGATCAACAGAAAAACCGATTTAGTGCTGGCAGTGACATAGTGACTCTTCAGTTCTTTTGGGACAATTGGGAAACATATTCCTCTGATTTGTGGCAACAGTCAAATAGAAGTAGAAAAATGTGGTATCCAAAACGATCCTCAAGATTTTCAGTATGTAAGGAATGCTGAACTAAAAGTCAAACCACAATAGTCTCTACAAGTATATATTTATGACCAGTTAGGGTAATGATAGTTCATGAAAGCTTATGAAAACTATAAAAGATAGAGCCATGCTGCATGCATCTTAATCTACAGCCATGCATCTCAAAGTCCATGGGAGACTGCATTATATCTAAGTTTCAAGCAAAAAGCAAAATTAAAAAAAAAATGCTTGCAATAAACACTGAAATCTTAATTACTATTTTAAAATGATTTTCTTAATTTAATTTATATTTTAAATAATGCTTGGAAGATTACACAGTAAACAATTGAACAATTTGAACCATCCAGTGGTTCACATATGAGTAATGATACGTAAAAGAAGTATCAATGAATGAATAGTAGAATCTTTTAATTCACCATGATTTAGGACAGGTACCATGGAATAATCAGCAAAACCTGTTTTTTTTCACAATGCACTCTCCGAAACCAGTATCCTCAATAATCCAAAATATTATAAAGAAAAAAAAACTAAACAAGCAAAAAAGAAGAAAGCAGGACCATGCTGTTCACCCACGCACCTGGAGGAACAACTCCAATACCATCATCAACATCATAATCTGAGATGTCACTATCACTGATTGGCCGAGATCCTGCACAACAGTAAGGTAAACAAATTCCTGAACATCTGGTTGTGTTATAAAATGTAAAAATATGTTCATTTAATGTACTACTGAAATCAAAAAGATGATTTTAAGTCTAAACAATAGAGGAGGAGAACTAAACTGCAGTGACTGACAGTGACATTTCACAAGACAGCTGATCCAATTTAACACCTTACAGCTGCTGCAGCCTCCTTTCCCCTTCGTCTTCCCTCAGGTCCTCAATAATCCTCTACTAGGACAGTTTAACTTTTTGCTGGTTTAGGGAAATAACTCAAACAAACAAAAATACGTTTGTGCTACTTCAGTGAGTAAGCTGAATCAGCTCACTGAACAGAAAAGGAGAGGTGGCAGCATATGGTGAGAGAGGGGAAGAGGAAACAGCACTGCCAGCTTTTAGAAAAGTTCAAACATCTCATGAAAACTAACCTTTAATTTGTTCTCTCTCTACATATCCTCATGCAGCAATTACAGCAGTATCACATTTTTATAATTCATTCCTGAATGTACACCCATTTCATACGCATTGGCTGGAATTAATTACTTCCATGTTTAAGAAAAATTGGAAAAATAGCTTGGAAAAGTATTTTAAAATAATCCCCTACTTCCTTCACATTTCTGAATAAATCTTAAATTAATTTAAATTAACAGAGAAGCTACAATAGTCAAATATTTCAAAACATCCATTATTTTAATATGCCTTATACAAACCTAAAATCAGACTCAAAGTACACTTCTCATTTGATTTTACAATAAGCATATTGGAGGTTGAGACTAACTATGATGAAAAGTGGTTTTAAGCCTCATAAGTCTTTAAGGACTCTCCTTTTTTAAATAAAAAGCTTTTAATTATTAAAAAAAGTATCCAATAATTATGAACTTCATCTTTCTATTCAAAAAAATGTTTGAACAATTTTCTTTTGCTACTGAAAACCAAACTGATTCCAACAGGTTTCACATACTTGAAAGTTATGCGTTACAAGTGAAAGGCTGCCATGTTGTACTGTCATCATTTGCACCTGTTTTCTGCCACACATTTTCATTATATTTAAAGACTATGAAATATTATTTTTTATCTTGTCTATGGAAGTTAAATAACATTACACCATACCCAGCACTTCTGATTTAAAAGTAAAAGAGATTGGACCTACTTTGTAATTTTTTGCTAGTGCTTTCTCCACCATGAACATGTCTTCTTGGCATGAAAGGTGATGGCTGAGGCAGAGGTAGTGAAGATTCATCATGTGTCTGTAGCTTATACCAATGTGGTTCATCATCTAAAAGTGCTGTCTCCAGCTCTATAAGAATCTAGTAGAAAAATTATCAGGTTTTAATTTTACTTTCAAGGCACATGTGCACAAACCCATTTATAAAATATATATATATATGTATATGCATTCAAAACCAAACAATGAACTCAGGAGAAATATGATTGTATTTATCACCTCTCCAAGAAATTCGCTCTCTTCTTCTTGTACTCTCGGTTGATCCCATACAGTTATTTCAAGCATCCGTTCTCTAAAATCTCTACGATGTACATGTGAGTAGAGAAAAGTTTGGTTCCATTTTGGCTCTAGACTTTTCTTTACTGTTTTGGTCCTCCTTTTACTCTTATCACTGAAACATAAATAAATATTTGTTATAAATTGTAGAGATAAATCACAAAATGCCATCTACTGAATCAGCATCTACTGTTTTCATTCTTTCTGATCTGATAATGCCCAAGAGAGAAACGTATTTGCTGTACAGTGGATCACATTCATCCAAAAGTCCACAAAGTTAATTTGATACTGACTTGCACGATTGCAAGCGCAATTTTTGTTATAATTAACAAACAAATTTTGTTATAATTAACTATAACAAATTCTAAAAAGGAACGCTTTACACTATAAGCATTCATTTAAAAGCTGAATCAATACATGGTAAATTATAACATAATTTTCTGAACTGAAATACTACTACCTTCTGTCTGGAAGAAAATACATTTTTACATAGGGATTCCTAGGGCGTCCATCTACTCTTGGTGGCAAATCTGTTGCTTGCAGAACATTTACTATTAACTGATGTCCCACCTTGTCATACCACAGTTTAACCTACAAGAACCAAGTTACCAGAAAACATTACTGAAAATGAAGAAAAACCAGAATTTTCAGATTGCATCACATTAACCATAATGTAAAAGTAACCATTGTTTTTTTTCCAGGAGACAATGAGATATGCTTATTTCAAATCCCTTAACATTTAATTGAGTTAAAGGATGATGGTATATATCAAAGACTTAGTTATTTACCATAGCTGAAAAAAATGGTGGTGCCCGATATTGACATTCTTCATTGTACTTGCTGCGTAATCTTGTATCATTGAGTGCAGTTAAACCAGCATACATCTTAGCTCTGCACCTTAAAAGCTAAATTCAAATAGGAAGCCCTGACCACAGGTAAACTTGAGGCACAGTTAAAATCTATCTACTCTGATTTGTTAACCTTGCAAATGTTCTTATGAAAAGTGTAACATACAGCTAAATAATTTCTTACCTGAATAATAACATGATGAAATTTTTGACCTGGCTATATACTTAGAAATTAATATGATCAATATAAAAAAAAATGTACAAAACAAAGTTCTAAGTACTCACAGTATATTTAATAAGCACAGCTTCAATTAGTATCACAGACAGTTCCAGGATATAGTGTGTATCTAAATTAAAATGCAATACTGAACAGTTTAATTCTTAACAAATACACACCTCTTCAAATGCTTCCATAAAGAAGATAAAGTGATACTATGCTGCTTGTTCTGTGGATTACTGGGCATGTACTGAAAAGCCACCATTTTCAATGCAGAGGGCCCAGTATGAAAAAGTACAAGGTACTTTTATGGGCTCCTCTCAATGTAAATTGCTGTGCTCTTTGGTGTATTAAGACAATTCTTTACCTCTGTCATGATTACAGTGATGGTTTGTGTGTACAGAGGGTCTTAAAAAACATTTGAAAGATATTAGTCTTTACCAACTACAGACATTTCTCTTGACCCTTGCAATAGACCTTGGGAATGCGGATTGCTGAGGGACCAGCACTTCACAGATTTCCATTAGCAACTCAGGAAAAACAAAATATGCTCACGGAAAGTTGCCCTGGTAGGACTTGTGGTGCATCTCGTAGGGCTCCAGGGCTGGTCGGAGATATAACAGAAATAGAAGGCCTTTCCATCTTCTGAGACTCAAAAGAACTTGAACCTAAAAATACAGAAACAAATGAACTTTCCATCCAAAATTTTGAAGTGAATTGCTTTTTCTTTGAATTGTATAAATTTTGTATTTATTCACAGTATAATTGGATTAATACATAGAAATATTTTAAGGTGATGCAGACAGCATGATGAAAAAGACTGTCTGGATACTGTTATCCCAGATTAAACCTGCCATTTTTTGTTTTATTTGAAATAACATTAAAAAGTGCTCCTCATATAGCAGTGACAAATCATACAAAGTGTTTTAAATAATATATTGTCCTCTGACAGAAATACACATCTCCCTTCCAACCCAAACTATTCCATGGTTCTATGATTCTGTGATCTGAAATCTTTGACAAACAAACCCATGTCTGTTGTATGGATTATACTCCCAGTAGCCTCTGAAATTTTAACTCCCAAGGAACTGGCACACAGGAAGGTATGCAGGACATGCATCTAGCATGGAGGATGCTCTGGTGCCTGCCTGACATCAGCAGTTCTCACCCAGTGAGGCAGAGTCCTCATTGATGAGAAGAGCTTGTGACAGGCGTAACAGCACCCTGTGGCCCCACAGGACCCAGTCCCAGGGGAGATTTCTGGATGCACCTCAGGCTTAGATGAGAAAGGACTAGGAGCCATGGCCTTCACACACCCTAGCTGACACCATTCAAATGGGATAGTTAAAAAGAAAACTATACTTTTGAAGCACAATACATAAAATGTTCACTAACCAATGTTTTCTTATTAAGAAAAAGAGAAGCAAGAACTCTGGACTTAACACTGGATGATGTAGGAGCTGAAACCCTGACACCATTTGTACCTTTGGCAATCCCTTATATCTGTTTTCTCTCTTATGTTAGGGCAAGTAAATGATGTTTTGTGCCACAGTGTGTATACCAGTATGGTACTAACACCACAAGATATAGAAGAAAACAATAAAATCCTGCTAACATTTGAAATCTGTATAGCTTTAATCAAATCTATATTGTTTCAAATTTAACACACTAGACCAAAACCCATTGAACCTTGTCATACAAAAACCTCAGAGCCAATGCAGTCTCCCAGTGATCATCTTTCAGAAAATTCATAGGCTAAACAACTGTGCTGGGCACAAGACCATGCTTAGTGAAAGGAACAAGGCGTGTACTCACTAGACTCTAACGGGGGGTGAGAAGTCTCAGGAATCCGTGGAATATCACTAAAATGTGAATATACACATAGTAATTAGAAACAATAGAGATGACCTCCTGCTGTGACAAATAAGTTTGGGACACTTTTTTGGAAACACAGATCTGTTTCTGTTCAAATGGGTTACAAGGAAAAAACGGGGAAATATCTAAAGACATATTTTCCACTAGCATTCATAACAATCTTATTAATGCAAACTACTTCTTTCAAGTTAAGGAACCAGCAGACGTAACAATATGAGCACTACAATGTTAGTATTGTGGATGGAATCCATTATATTTTTACTACCAGAATAATAAAGTTAGAAAGCTTTTAGGAGGAGAAAGGTGGCAAAAGCTACTACAGCTATGGATATTCAACTATTTTTTGGAATTAAAAAAATCCAAAAAATAAGACATAGATTGACTCACTAGTAATTTTTATATAAACGTCTCAAGGAGTTCACTGAATGAAACTGATGAAAATGTCTTATAATAATAAAAAGAAAAAGCAAGTAACATTAGCAATATTAAACAAACAAAAGAAAAAGCAAGTAACATTAGCAATGTTAAACAAAAAAGAGTAATGCATTTCTTCAAAAGCTAAAAAAAGATCAAACCATATTACGATTGGGTATGGACATTTTTTGACATACATATACCCAGCACATATACAGGTATATACAAAATCAGACTGATTAAGTCTACACACAACTATCAAAATTTTGCCATCAACAAATTTACTCCTCCATCAAAATCTGGATGATGCTAGCTCCTGGCTCTCTTCTCAGCAATCATTGAAAACACATTGCAAGAGCAAGAAGTAACTGTTACTGTACAAATTTTAGCAAAGCAGCAGAGTAGGAAAATAGAAACAAAGCTCTTCAGGGAATTACTTGAAAATATTTTTATGTACACAAAATAATCCAAATTTGGAACTATAACAACATTTCTGAAGAACATATACAAGACCTTAAGTCTAAAGCTGAGCATTTTAAAGGCACTCAGGCATTTCTCTGTTCAGTGAAACACTATCTTAATGACGTAGAAGTCAATAAAACTAAGATTCCTAGGTATATAGAAGTCACTTATGAAAAAGAAACAGACACTTCAGTCAGAAATGGAATATAACAGTGCTCAATCAAATAGTCTTAAATTCACTTTTAATACCCTGCAATTTAAACTTCTGGTGCCTGTGGTTTAAAAAAAGACTATTTCAGCTCCAAGTTAATTTCTCATATCACTAAACAAGAATATGCTTCTCTTTGCCTTGACTTTGTAATCCAAGAGTAATGTAGTTGGAAATATAACTGCATTACTCATTCTTGACACGGCATAGTACTACTTTACAAACATATAAACAGATTAACAACCTGTTGCACAGCAGGGTTGCTGTGCAGACTTCTTCCTCTTAACATTTTCTTTCTTTCCAGGGCAGAATTTCCAGGGCAATTCTCAGCAGTCTAAAACATTTACTTACCATGTTCAAACTGATTTTTCTGTTCACTACAACATTAAGTTTCTAATGTTTTCTTGTGCTAGAATATGAACACTCTCACTGGAAGTATAGCACTGTTTGTAGTAACATCATGTTTAGGGTATCTAAACGAAGGCTTATATGTGCAAGGAGTGTTTCAACATGGAAAGTGCAACCTATAGCGTCAAGTTTCATAATGCCTGGGTGGGTGAAAAAAGACATTAAAATGAATTTTCTTTGGATTTCTTTTCTGTACTGTTGACAATACCGTAGGAAAAAAAAAGTTAAAAATAAGCCTCAAATATTAATTACATATATAAGCACTTAAGAACTGATTTATACTCACACTAAGGCACATTCACACTATTAGATCAACATAGAAAAAGCTAATTTGAAATCTTTAAAACTCTGTAGTACAGTGGGCAGCTTTTTTTTTTAAAAAAATATATAATTTATATATATAAAAGACATTTAGATATATTATGTATATATAATGCATGTGTGTATGTGTATACATGTGTGCATATATATATTCAAATTATTACTAGGAAATATCTTCCCTAATATATTTATCTTGTTTAAGTACAGCTCCACACTGAACTGCAAGACACAAAAATAAAAGAAATAAATAAAATAAGTATGCAATATAGTGGTGATCACCAAACTCATGGCAGAGTATTCTAACAAGCTCTGTAACACTTCTGCTTTCTGTTACTCATTTCAAAATGTACATGAAGTAATTTAAAGCTATGCTTCTGCCTATATGTTTATTTCTTACAAATTCAGTAATCCAGTTTACGTAATCATTTCTTAAATATTGCATGCACACAAGAAAAATAACTGCTGTACTAGATCACTATCACATGTATGAGTGGTATTTTTTTAAATGTTGGCATTTCATTTAATGAATTAAATTTCTAAAAAGAAACTATAATCTAAAAGTTGTTACGTAAGAAAATTAGTGTTATCTAGCCTGCTTTTATTGTTGGATTGCAGAAAATATTCTGACAGTATGATTTACAAAAAAGCTCCCCAGGAGAAACAGTAGCTCATGATCAAAAATATTCAAAACTAGAGCAGTCAAAACAAACAGTAAAAACAAAGCAAGAATTTGCACAACCATTTATAAAATAGCAAAATTTTACTCCCTGTTTCGAGCAATGTGACAGTCAGAAAAGCAATGTCAGACACACCACCAGTAAAGAGCTGCCGGCATCCAAGTTTGTCCTTCTATCTCTATCTTGGAAGGCAAAGGTATTTTGTGGTCTTATGTGATGTTACATATGACTATCTTACGTCTGACCCTTCCACACCTGAATGAATACATAAAGTGAATGAATACATAAAGCAAACCAAACTATAACAGGTTGAGGCTACTCCATGCAGATATATGGTTTGTGAGGATCGCTGTTTTTTAAAACACAGGAACAGCTATAATCTCTCCGAGGGCTATAGTCAAGAGCTCAATCATCAAAGACAAAACAAATTCAAATGTGGCCATAACCCACACTTTTTTAGGTTTCTCTAGGCACAGAAGCATTGTCCTCTACACCTATAGAGTTTTCAGTTTCTGAGTACCTGCCCCTCATGCTCATCCTCCTATTTCCAAAACCATTCCTTCCCATCAGAAACTGTAGTTCAATCTGTAGTTTGCATTAATTACATTACTTGAGCAACTCTCTGGAATTCAGTACCGACTGGTTTATGATGAAGGCTCAACCTCCTTTCAAGGACCTAGAGCACAGTAGTAGTCCCGGTACAGAGCTGAATCACACCAGAGAAACAATTTTGGCAATATCATCTGTGGAAATCCAAGCAAAGATACCTAGCATCTGACAAAGAAAACAGAGACAAACCAAAAAGCATTTGTTTTACCTGCACTATCCCATAGAGCTCACCTGAGTACATAAGAGATGGTGAGTTAGTTACTTCTCCAGTACTTTCTCCAGGTTTCTTCTCCAAAAAGCATACTGACAGTGGATTTTCTATGCTGTCTTGTGTTAACTACCTCTCACATTGTATGCATATTCATAGGTAATTCTTCCCCTCATATTTAGATAGCCAACCCATTAATTCTACTTTTTATAGGTTTCTTATCTACCTTGTGTGGCAATCATTAGCATTAGCGTCAATTAGTTTCTATGGAGTTTTCACTGTACTATTGTGGTTGTACTGTTTATTGTTATTATGTCTTCATCTGCTAATAGTGTTACATGTTTCACGTTTTTCTCTAATAAACATCCTACAATTATCCATTACTCAAAATTACATTTGCTGGTAAGACACAGAAATCCAAATTTACAAGACTGAGCAAATTGTTTAGACATCAATTTTGTAACTGGCAGTCTCATTTGCGAGCTTTCAGTCCTCCCATTATTCACTTAAGCCAAACTGTGTCACATTTGGGCTTTTTAGATCCAATATGCCAGGATTTTTTAAATGAAGACCATTAAAAGTGCTGGTACATTATTTGCATTATTAATACTGAGAGATGAAAACACTTAAATTATGCAGACGAAATATAATTTTTCAGGTCTTTCGGGAACCTATTTCCTCACAGGAATTTTAGGTGTAATGGATTACCACTTAATGTTGTATCAAGCAGCTTCAATTTTGCTGAGTCAGCACCTAAAGTAGACACAAAACTTTAATACACTAGATTTGTCGGATTAAATAAAATTCCCTGTCATGAATTTGATATAATCACATAGTTTGGATATCAAGACAAGAAGAAGCTGGGGGGGGGG